CAGTCTCCAGGCTCTGAGTTGTCAGCACAGAGCCTGATGCGAGGCTCAAACTCATGAACTGTGAGATCATGACCTGAGCCGGAGTCGGATGCTTAACCAACTGAGCCACTCAGTCACCCCTGCAAATGTTATTTTTTGACAAAGAAGCCCTTTAAATCATCAGACTTCAGATATTACCATGTCTGGAAAATAACCTTTAACTTTTAAACTGTAATTCTTTATTTTTTAATTTTTTAAAATGTTCATTTATTTTTAAGGGAGAGAGAGAGAATGAGCAGGGGACAGCAGAGAGAGAGAGGGAGACACAGAATCCAAAGCAGGCTCCAGGCTTTGAGCTGTTAGCATAGAGCCTGACGTGGAGCTTGAACCCACAAACTATGAGATCATGACCTGAGCCAAAGTTGGGTGCTTAACCAGTTGAGCCACCCAGGCACCCCAAAACATGTTTGTAATTCTTTCTTAGTAGAAGAATAACAGGGGATTGCCTAATGTATTGCTCTGCTAGTAGTAATATTTAATTTGGTATCTTTTATTGTGAGAAGAAAAAAATCACTGGCACTTTATTCTTCAAACATATGCATGGAGAATAAAATGACTTTGCTAGGTTTTTTAAACAGAAATTTTAATTTGGAGCCAGCCTACCCACGTGTAGGCCTTAGGAGGTAGAATCCTGCAACCTTCATGGAAGTGATTATTGCAAGACCCTCCAAGGTGGCTGAGAGGAACAGGTGGCCAAGAGCTCTCCTTCTTGACCAGGATCTGAAAAGTGCAATTAGCCACTCTCAACTCCACTTCAAACCAACCTTATCATCAACTGGACCTCTAGAAAAGACTGAAATAGAGGAAATTTATATGAAAATTGATCTCATGATGTCACAAGGGAGAAAACTTAGAATACTGGAAAGGAAGTATGACTGTGGATGGCCTTGCCAGTAGAACTAAAATGTCTCCATGACTTTGGAAAACTTTAGAAAGTTCTTTATGTCTTAAAAAAATTTTTTTAACCCTGCTTTGTAATTAGTTTAACTGGCCCTTGCATTTAGGACAGTTGTATAAAGAAATCAAAGAAGATGAAAACAAAGGATATAATTTGTAATGAGTGATAAAGGCAGGCATACTTTACTGTAACCAGAAAGCAAGGATATGGTCAAGACAAAAACAAAGGAACTAGCTTGACATGGCCAAGTTGTAACAATTTGAGCACTAATAATTATGATTAAAATATATAAAAATTTTCAAATGCTCTGAGTTCATAATTGTACTCAAGAAAATATCAAGTATGGGGGCGCCAGGGTGGCTCAGTCGGTTAAGCATCCAACTTCAGCTCAGGTCATGATCTCACGGTTCGTGGGTTCGAGCCCCGCACTGGGCTGTGCTAACAGCTAGCTCAGAGCCTGGAGCCTGTTTCAGATTCTGTATCTCCCTCTTTCTCTGACCCTCCCCTGCTCATGCTGTTTCTCTCTCTCTTTCTCTCTCTCTCAGAAATAAATAAACATTAAAATTTTTTTTAAATAAAATATCAAGTATAGACAAAGTAGTGATTACATGAAAATATGGATTATGTTTGTTATTGCTTTCCATAAGCAGTGGTATGCTAATAAAGCTGGATAATTTGTTTCATCCAAGTAAATGTAGTGTATGAAGTACAGATAGACATTTGTTTTATCTGTACAGTAAATAAAAGTACAATTGAAAACTGTAAGCAAACAGTCCAGAAAAGCAAATCCAAAAATAAAAAGGGCCAATCATCAGTTGTGGTAGCAAGAAGAAAGAAAGGAGGTCTGCAGTATGTTGCAATTTAGCCAAATATCCTAAAAAAGGAGGGGCTAAATGCTCAGGCTTGATTACTTATTTCCTTGGAGATGAAGTTTTCAAATGGAACTACCACTTATAAGATAAGGTGAACAGGGGGTGCCTGGGTGCCTTAGTCAGTTGAGAGTCTGACTTTGGCTTGGATCATGATCTCGAGGTTGATGAGTTCAAGCCTCCTGTTGGGTATGCTGCTGTCAGCACGAAGCCTGCTTCAGATCCTCTGTCCCCCTCTCTCTCTCTGCCCTTCTCTGCTTGTGCATGCTCTCTCAAAAATAAATAAACATTAAAAAAATAAAGTGAACATAAAGTTTATACTAACATCAGGTAAATATCTGAACAGCATGAATTATGTAATTTTGGTGAGAATTAAAGAATATATCATTTCTGTGTGAAAAATGTAATTATGATTAGTAAATGTACAATTACAATTAGTAATGCAATTTATAATTAGTTTGTAAAAATATGGAAGTTATATTAAATAAGTAAACTTAAAAAGGGTTATTGATGTTAGATATGAGATTTAAGTTTAAAAAGAAACAGCTGGGGCACCTGGGTGACTTAGTTGGTTAAGCATCACTCTCCTGGGTTTGGCTCAGGTCGTGACCTCATGGTTCATGGGTTTAAGCCCTGCATCAGGCTCACGCTGACAATGCAGAGCCTACTTGGGATTCTTTCTCTCTATCCCTTTCTGCCCCTCCCCTGGTCATGCTCTCTCTCTCTCTCTCTCAAAATAAATAAAAACTTAAAAAAAAAAAAAAAAAGGCTCAATTGAGGCACCTGAGTGGGTCATTCAGTTAAGCATCTGACTGTTGATCTCAGCTCAGGTTTTGATCTTAGGGTCATGAGTTTCATGGGTTCAAGCCCTGTATTGGGCTTTACACAGGGCGTACTTAAAACAAAAAAACAAAAACAAAAACAAAACAAAAAAACTCAGCCTACTGACAAGAAGTTTGAATTTAAATCCTTGGAGAGAAGCAAACAAATCCCATTCTCTTACCAATTTAGGTTGTAACACAGATCCTATAACCCTAACTGGCCTAAAACAGTAACGTTTTACTTTGTGGTTTCTTGAAATGACTACAAGCCCAAAGACGCATTAAAAGTAAGCATTACTACATATCTTTAGCAGGTATCAAATAAGTAAAACTACCGTCTTGGGAAAAAATATAGGAATAAAAAATGAATTAAAACCATGATATTTTCACAATACACTTAAGGGTAAACATAGATTTTTAAATAACCCTATTTATTTTTTAAAAAATTTAGTTTAAATTCCACTTAGTCATCATATAGTGTGATACCAGTTTCAGGTGTACAATATAGTGATTCAAATATACATATATCACCTATATTCAGTACAAAATGTGCACTCCTTAGTTCCCATCACCTATTTAACCTATCCTCCTCTGGTAACTATCAGTTTGTTTTCTAAAGAGTTCATTTCTTGGTTTGTATCTTTTTCTCCTTTGTTCTTTTGTTTTGTTTCTTAAATTCCACATATGAATGAAATTATCTGGTATTTGTCTTTTTTCTGACTGACTTAGTTCGCTTGGCATTATACTCTCTAGATCCATCCATGTTGTTGCAAATAGCAAGATGTTATTGATGGCTGAGTAATATTCCTTTGTATATATACACCACATCTTCTTTATCCATTCGTCAGTCAACAGACACTTAGGTTGCTTCCATAATTTGGCTATTGTAGATAATGTGGCTATAAACATCGGGGTGCATGTATCCCTTTGAATTATTTTTGGTATTCTTTGGCTAAATACCTAGTAGTATAATTGCTGGATCATAGGATAGTTCTATTTTCAACTTTTTGCAGAACCTTGATATTGTTTTCCAGAGTGGCTTCACCAGTTTGCATTCCCACTAACAATGCAAGAGGGTTCCCCTTCCTCCATATGCTCACCAATATCTGTTATTTCTTGTGTTGTTGATTTTAGCCATTCTAACAGGTATGAGGTGATACCTCATTGCAGTTTCCACTTGTATTTCCCTGAAAATCAGTGATGCTGAGCATCGTTCCAGGTCTGTTGGCCATCTGTACCTCTTATTTGAATAAATGTTTATTCATGTCTTCTGCCCATTTTTATTTATTTATATATTTTTAAAAATTTATTGTGAGAGAGAAAGTGAGGTAGAGGCAGAGAGAGGAGAGAGAACCCCAAGCAGCTCCACACTGTCAGTGCAAGCCTGACACAGGGCTCGAACTCACAAACTGTGAGATCATGCCCTGAGCCGAAATCAAAAGCCAGACACTTAACCAACTGACCCACCCAGGTGACCCTCTTCTGCCCATTTTTAAATTGGATTATTAATTTTGGAGGTGTTGAGTTATATAAGTTCTTTATATATTTTGGGTACTAACCCTTTATCAGATATGTCTTTTGTAAATATCTTCTCCCATTCCATAGGTTGCCTTTTAGTTTGTTGATTTGTTTCCACTGTGCAGAAACTTTCTATTTTGATGAAATATAATAGTTTATTTTTGCTTTTGTTTTCCTTGCCTCAGGAGATATATCTAGAAAGAAGTTGCTACAGCTGATTTCCAGGAGGTTACTGCCCATGTTCTCCTCTAGGATTTTTATGGTTTCAGGTCTCACATTTAGGTCTTTCATCCATTTTGAATTTATTTTTGTGTATGATGTAAGAAATTGGAATAATCCTATTTAGGTTTGTTTTGCTGTTGTTTAAAGAGTTTGAGGTGTTCAAAAGAATTTAGCTATTTTAAAGAATATACTAATTACCCATTTTAAGCTAATAAACTAATAGCAGTTTAACTTCTGTAAAGAAATTAATTTGTAATTAATATTACATGTTTAAGAAAAATCACTTTTTCAAATTTTTTTCAAAAAAATTTTAAAGTGTGTTTCTTAGACTCCTAAATTTCTTTAAACCAGTTTATCTACACTTTATTTCAAGAAGGATGTGCTTGTATCTATAAATATATAAGATAGAGATTTATAGAGATAGAGAAAAATAGAGAAACATCCTTAAACCCTAGGGAATGACTTACTTTTTGAACAAAAACTTACGAAACAAAATTCTCATATACATAGAAACTGTGGTCAATCTTAACAGCATTTTCTGTGCTTTATTAAATACCATCAAGTAAAACATAAATTTTTTAATCCCCTAGTATAACTGGCAGAATATAACGTTTACATATTAGAAATACTTACATAGTGGAATCTCTATCTTGAGAAAGTGTTGTCTCGTGTGAAACTGAAACAACAGAAGGGGATCTAGGATACAGTCCATATCCTTCACTTGGAGTAATTATTTGTCTACCCAGAATCCTTCAAAATGAACAACATAAAGAGACAATTAAGCACATTCACCTACCATACATACAAAATGTAGATATTCTTGGGACAAATGTGACGGTTCTATATAAAAGTCCAGAACATACCTAGTCTGATACCGATTAAGAATGATTCTTAAGAGAACACGTGAATCCAGAGTCTTTTTACAGGTATAGCTCTCTTCCACAGAATGGAGATGGAGAAGAGAAAGCTATAGCCTCGCACTGCTGAAAAAAATCCAAGGAAACTGAGCAAAGAGTTTTAATTTTCCCTCCACCCTCTACAATAATCTTCATTAAATCTGCCAAAATGGATGAAAGCCAGGCCAAATTAGTGAAAGCTATAAATTATATTCTTAAGAACATGATGCTGTAAAAATTTTTGGAATACATTTTAAGTAGTAGGTATAGTAATGTCGTTTCTGAGGGAAGCTTCCTAACAGCTTATGTCTGCTTTTAAGTACACATAGGACTTTTCTTGTAGACAACAGTGTAAACAAATACATTTTCTGACCCTCTTGCTCCAAAGAAGAGTTCTTTGACACACACAATGCATAGATCTCAGCTACCAGTAAAGAAATTGTTTTACTCAATTAGGACAACATAGTGGTAGTTATGAAAAGTCTAAGAAACTTCCATCAACTTCAGTTTTCTCTAAGTGCAGTCTTTATACTGTATGACCTTATTTACGTTCATTAAAACCAAGCCCATAACGATTTCAGAATACAAGTTTTTTTGTTATCTGCTTTTTAAAAATTATTTTTTAATTTTCTTATTTTAGAGAGAGAGGACAGCAGGGAAGAGGGGCAGAGGGAGAGAATCATAAGCAGACTCTATGCTCAGTGTGGACCAACATGGAGCTCAATCCCACAATCCTGGGATCATAACCTGAGCTGGAATCAAGAGTTGGACATTCAGCCAACTGAGCAATCCAGGCACCCCTAGATATTTGCTTTTCAAATTTTAGTATTAGCCATAAATACAAGCCAATTCTGGGGCTTCAGTACCTGAGGTGAGGAAAGCTACGTGTCCATTGTTGGCACTCTTCCTGTAGACTCTTAGTGTGCACACTCAACTTCTGCTCATACAAGAGCTCGTCAATGGCTGTGAACATTGCCTGGACTTTTTCAGTGGCATTTTGATCAAGTTCCTAGAAGAAAATATACCCCAAAATATTTAGGTGAGCTTTTAAAATCTTAAAGATTGAAAGCAATCAAATTTTGTTTTCAGTATTTGGTCCATTTGAAATACTGTTGAATTTCCATTAGAGAAAAGTTAGTGAATTTTCATCTTATAATATTCAGATTTCCTTCCTATTCCTATGTAAAGAAAATTTATAGAAATATTTACTTTTTAAAGTAACATTTTCTTCATTATAAAAATACTATGTTTATTGTAATCATTTTGAAAGGTTAAGAAAAACATGAAGAATAAATTAAAATTACCAGCAATTCTACCAAATATAACGCTTACTAATAATTTTAGTATAGTTGCTTGGTTCCAGTATTTTTTTAGAGCTGAAGATAGACAGTCAATCCTATACATATGACCCTTGAACAACATGGGGCTTAGGGATGCTGACCCTCCCCCTCCATGTGCTCTCTCCCCCTCCATGTGCCCCCTCCCCCTCTACACAGTAAAAAAATCTATATATAACATTTGGCTCTCTAAAAACCTAACTACTAATAGCTTACTACTGACTGGAAGCTTTACCAATAACCCATATTTTATGTATGTGTTGCATACTGTATTCTTACAATAAAGCAAGCTAAAGAAAAGGTTATTAAGAAAATCATGGTGCTCCTCGGTGGTCCAATCAGTTAAGCATCTGACTCTTGGTTTTGGCTCAGGTCTGATCTTGTGGTTTTGTGAGTTCAAGCCCCACATCAGGCTCTGTGCTGGCAGTCTGGAGCCTGTTCGGGATTCTCTCTCTCCCTCTCTGCCCCTTCCCCACTGGCACTCTGTCTCTCCCAAAATAAATAAATAAACTTAAAAAAAAAAAAAGAGGGGCTCCTGGGTGGCTCATTCAGTTAAATATCTGACTATTGATTTTGGTTCAGGGTCTTGATTTCACCATTTGTGGGTTCAAACCCCATGTCAGGCTCTGCACTGACAGCATGGAGCCTGTTTGGGACTTTCTCTCTCTCTCTGTCTCTCTCTGCCTCTCCTCTCTCTCTCAAAAGTAAATAAATAAACATTAAAAAAACAAAATCATAAGATACTGTAAATACATTTACAGTACTGTACTGTTTTGAAAAAAATTCACATATAAGTGGACTCACCCAGTTCAAACTTGTGTTGTTGGAGGGCCAACTGTGTATGTATTATTTTGTAGTCTGTATTCTTCTTCTTTCTTTTTCTTCCTTCCTTCCTTCCTTCCTTCCTTCCTTCCTTCTTTCCTTCCTTCCTTCCTTCCTTCCTTTTTCTTTCTTTCCTTCCTTCCTTTCTTTTTACTTTTTAAAAATTTTTATTATTTATTTTTGTGAAGAGAGACAGAGCACAAGCAGGGAAGGGTCAGAGAGAGAGAGGGGGAGACACAGGATCTGAAGCAGGCTCTAGGCTCTGAGCTGTGAGCCCAGGGCCAGATGCGGGACTCCGACTCACGATCCATGAAACCATGACCTGAGCCGAAGTTGGACCATCAACCTATTGAGCCACCCAGGTGCCCCTGTAGTCTATATTTTTCAACTGACAGTTTAGGTTATGTCCCTGCCCTCTGTAATCCTTTAGTAGCAGCCATAGGGATGGCTATAAAATGTAAATCTGATCATGTTATTTGCTTCTCTGCTTACTCTCTATATTTATGCACCCTTTTTTATTCTGGTGGAAGAAAAGTTAAACCTTTTTTTTAAAGTATAAGATAAGAAATCTGTATTTTCACTCCAATAATGAAAATCAGCTTCTACCCAATTAAAAAAGGTTTGCTAGATAGATATGAAGACTAACTTTAAAGACTGTTGACCTTAAAAAAATACACACAAGAAAAGTCAGCTGTTTTACAAGCAAAATAAGCTTTTTCAGGAATAGCAGAGAATTGCAAATGAAGACAAGCAAAGTTATGGCAAATCATAGGCAAGTCCAGGACAGAGGAGAGGCTTGTCTTTATAGGCAAAAGGAGGAAGCTAGAAGGGGCTGGTACAGCTTCTCATTGGATGAGTGTGGTCCTTTCTCACTAGTTGGACTGTTGATGGGCAGAAAGAAATTCCTCCTGCTGGAGTATATAAAGTAAGTTTCTTCCTGCTGGGGAATGCAAGCTGTGGCTTCTTATGGAGGGATGGTAGTGTGTGAAAGATTACTCTTTAGGGCTTCTCATCTCTGGGTTCAATGATACCTCTTATTTTCACAAGACTCAACACAAATAATATTTCTAAAAAATTTTTACTGTTTTCAAGCCCCCAAGAGGTGAGGTGGCACTATCCTAGTTTGTGAAAGTTGTTGTTTTTTTCCTGAAGCATCAAAGTTCTTTATTAGAGATGAGAATGGGACAGATAATGTTGAGAAAAAAGTGACTAGCACAATCTCCCAGCAACCTGGCTGTCTTTTTTTTTTTTCTTTTGCATTGCAAGCATTTTTCTTCTTTTAAAAATTTTAATTCCAGTATAGTTAACATACAGTGCTAGGCGCTCAGCATAGGATTCAGTGTCTTAAAGGACCCCGCATCCCACATCCCGTGGATCCTGTTCTAGAGTAGTGCCACTCCACCCTGATGACAAAAAAGACTCTGGCTGGGACCTCAGGGTCTTTTATCTTTGGGGAAGCAATAAACCCTCTTCCCAAAGTACTCTAGGAAGGGGACTGTTCTCTCCCAGTGCACCCCTGAGACTGTCACAGCACTCGGGCCATCCTCCCTTCTCCCAGGAGCACGCACCATGGCCTTGCTCTATAGAAAGTCATGCACATTTGAAACTTCCAAGCTTCAGCTCCTAAGGCTGTTTGCAAAATAGAAACTGGCACTCTTCCCATTTCTTGTTCTCCAGTCCATGGTCTGGAGAGGTTTTTCTCTCATGTTAACTTAATACTGTCTCTTTGAAGAGCTCTCTCTTTTTGTCTCTTCACAGAAAGGGTTCCCTCCCCTCCATGCTTTGCCATTTTATCTCTCCCTATTCATATACGTGTACCTCAATTCTGCCAACCTGTCTCCCTCCAACTGTAGAGACCTTTCTTTTTTTTTTTTTTTTTTTTTACAAATAGTTTATTGTCAAATTAGTTTCTACATAACACTCAGTGCTCATCCCCAAAGTGCCCTCCTCCATGCCCATCGCCCCCTCCCCCCCACACCCATCAGTCCTCAGTTTTTGTCAGCATTCAAGAGTCTGTAGAGACCTTTCTGCCACTCCACAGATTGATTATCTGGGTGTTCCAAGTGATCTGACCTCAATACAGCTGTGTTTGAGGGATGGGGGGAAATCCCGGTCCCTCTACATCTCTTCCGTCTTAACTCCACCTCATACTCTTTTATTTTTCTAACAAAATTAGAAAGTTAGTTTGTTTGTTTTAGCATTTCTGGCCTCCACTGAAACAAAACAAGAACTTTGATCATTTTGCCATGTATACATAACTCATTCTAGTGTACAGCTAAAACTACTATGTCCATTTTTAAAAATACGGGAAAAATGGAGAACAAAGGTATGAGACATGTGTGAGGATAGAATCCATGGAATGTGATGACTGATTTGATGAGAGAGACGGTTAATGAAGATGAATCCATACCTCTATTCTGGGTGATAGAAGGATGATGCTAGTAATAATAGTAAACATTCATCAAATAAGATATCCTTAACTGAAAAGATATCAATAGTCTTTATACTAAGTACCCAATCTGTACAGTATCTTTTTTTGTTTGACTTCTTATTTTGACCTAATTTCACACTTAGTATCAGATTATCTTTAAAGTAGGAAAAGTAAACAGTACTTCTCAGAAAACATTCTTACCAGTGCTTTTTCAAGCTTTAGCACCATGTGGATCATGAAATCAATATAAAATGTTATTAAATAATACCCAAAAAGATGAAATAGAATAAAGTAGAATATAATGTAAAATATACTATCACTCATATACAGGTTTTACTTTGTGGAACTTTGTCTTCTGTTTTATGTACACACCATGAGTCATAATGTCAACTAAAGTCTAAGTATGAATTGCAGTTTTAAAAGCTTGAGGCCACCAATCTAGACAGGGCCCAATAAGCCATATTTCTAGTGTAAACCATTCCTACTCCAGTTTACAGGATTAGAACATTGACTGGAACAGAAAATGATGTAGGGGATTGAGGCATTTTTAATCACTTTGATAATGAATCCAATTATGTAAAACACATTTTTAAAAAAAGGACTTTGATATGATTTAACTTCCCTCTAAGTATTTTTCATGTTTTTATTTTGAATTTTAGTATTAGTGTTATTTTTAATATATAAAATATTGTCATTTGTTTAAGTAACTACTTAGATTTTACCAGTGTGCTTGGCCAATTACTTTGCTTTCTGTTGCTTCATGTATCCCATTCCTTTCTTCTGGCATTTTCTTCTTGGTATAATCTATCCTTTAATAGTTCCCTCAGTTGTGTATATATGGTTGGGAAACTCGTGTTCTATAGATGTTTAAAATGTCTTTATTTTGCCTTCACTATTTAAAAATTTTTTAATGTTTATTTTTGAGAGAGAGACGGAGTACAAGCAGGGGAAAGGAGTGAGAGGGGGAGACAGAGAACCTGAAGCAGGCTCTGAGTTATCAGCACAGAGCCCAATGCAGGGCTCAAACTCACAAACTGTGAGATCATGACCTGAGCTGAAATCAGATGTTTAACCAACTGAGCCACCCAGGTGCCCCAACATTTCTCTTTTTATCTTTGATTATTGGCAGTTGCTCTGAAGTGTTTTTTTGTTTTCGTTTTGCCCCTCAGTTGATACACTTTTCAACATGAAGACTGTTATCTTTCTTCAATTCTTAAAAAAAAAAATCAGTATTACTTTGAAATATTATTGAAAGAAATTGGTAATATTCAATTATTACTTTGAATATTACTTCTTTCCATTCTCTTTCTAAAACTTCCATATACTGCAGCATCTTAATCCAGCTTTCATGTTCCTAACTACTCTTCAAATTCTCAATGCTTAATTTTGGTTCTCTAATTTGAGGTGATTTTCTTAGTT